ACCACTAGATAGGATTTATGTGTGCTGTTAATCATGCAACAAAAATTGTTGGTTCTCCACGTAACTATGTCTGCGCCATTTGTGCACCCTTTACACCATATGGGTCAGTGTTATATGATATGGAGACATTTATGCACTCAAGAGTGTCTATGCTAATTTGAAATATCAATTTTCCCAATAACTTTGAAAAAAGGGAATGTTGGTGTGCTCACACTTACTTCTATCCACTCGTTCACAATTTAAGGACGTATTTGGAACTCGTTTCAAAATAATTTTATTTTTTTGAATGAAAATGAAAACGTTTTCAATCTCAGACAGAAATCATTTTTAAAAATGCGTTTGGTAGTTTTATCAAGAGATTGTTTTCAGTGTAAAAAACCTATTAATGTCTCTCTTTCTCTCTCTCTCAAAAACAATTAAAAGTCATTTTTTATTTCTCTCTCATTTTACACTAAACTAAAAAATCGTTTTCATTTCTGTTTTTTGTCTTTATTGCGCCAAACGCCATTTTGAAAACGTTTTCATTTTTTTTCTTGAAAAACGTGAAAAATAAAAACGAGATCAATTCCAAATACTGTCTAAGTTTTACATGTCCATCACTGACTCTTTATACCCACGCATATAAATGAGCATTGCCAACTTGTACTAGTAATTATTATACTTCTTTAGGTTCTTTTAAGGTGGATGCAAACCAACAGTGAATAATTCTCGTCCTAGATGTTTATTATTTCAGTGGGATGACTTCATTTGATCCCCAACTTTTACTCCACTCTCTCATTTATTCCAAATATTGTAACACACAATATTATAGTGGAATCGAACTTCATATATTAACTATAAGTATTGATATATGTCCCCACTCTAGCAAAAACTTATCCACAATCTCATGAATCTTTCTTTGCCTGAAACTTTTTTATGTTTTAACTTATTCAATTATTAGGGGAGAATGCAATTATAAGTGTCTCAAAAGTATTATAAAAAAAGTTAACATTACATATATGCGTATGCGTGTATCTTGTATTTGAATAAATGAAGGGAAGAAAGAACTACATCATAAAATTGTAGTCAATATATATTATTATCCCAATTTAAAAGTTTCTATCCATGGTATTATTACTTTACTCTGATCCAGCAGAGTGGATAGAGATAGAATTTTACCGAACTAAACCGGACAGAGGATTCCCGAATCCACCTAATTAGGAGAAAACCTCTAAATTGGAGAGAAAACTAAGCTTTGTATTCAATAATCAAAATATTCAAATCTTCTAAATACAATAGTTAAGTGGCTATTTATAGTCAACTCACAAAATGATGATAAAATACAAATTAATAATAAAATAAAACTAAATTAAAAAACTAGAACAAACGACAATAAAATATAAAAAAACGACTACATCACACTAATACGTTGAGAATGGCCTATTCTATTATATGTATGTTACTTGATTCTCCAAGAATGCTCAACTTTAGATAATTAGCCAAAGACAATACAAGTCACCCAATGCATGTAAAAGACCCCATTCCCATGCATCTCGATTCTCTTAGTGAATCATAGAGATAAACATTATTATATTATTTGGTTGCTAATTGTGTTGGATTACCAATAGCACCTAATATTAATCAGAAAACCATAGTAAGAAAGCAACCAATGGCTAATAAAGATCATGGGTCTGACCCAGCCTACACTAACCAAAATAATTCAATATGTCTTTTTTTCAGGAAAAAAATAAATATATAGAATTCACTATGTCACATTATAATATCATATTATTCTTTTGTTTGTTGACATCATAAGCACGTACAAGAGGCTGTAAATAAGACTCCGTTTATTTCACCGATTCGAGTTTAGAATTTGAGTTTTGCTACAGTAAAAAGCTCTCATAGAAAATCACATCTCAACTCGAATCATCGAACTAAATGAGCCCTAAATATATAAATTGTTGATGATCAAACCAATTATTCCTTGCATCTCAAGTACATGTAATGACCACCAGATGCTAATAACTAGCGCTTAATAGTGTATTTGATATGCAGAATTATAAGCTAGAATATTTTTCTTTTCAAAGTCATTTCGCCACGAAATTTGATTAAACGAAACAGATCAGGACAAGAGAAAAGCCACCCAATTTTGCAGTTTTATATGCCCGAAATGCTTATGTGCGTGTTAAAAGTGGAAGATTCTTGCTTTCGATTTTTTGTTCTAAAATTTTTATTTCATTTGTAAATATCTCACTAAAGTGAATTATAAATTGAAAAAAAAAAAAAAATGAAAACGAATGTGGAGGCTATAGTTTTATTTTATTTTATTTTCCTACGTAGATTTAACTAGACGGGTATTCCAAACCCACAATTTGTATCTATAATATGACATAAACACACTTCTGTTTGATATTGATTGGCTATTAGACATAGGCTTTTTTTTTATTTAATAATTTTGCCCGTGAAGAGATATTTATCATTTACTAGGTGTAATGCACGTCCTTTGGACGTATTTGCGGCAATATGAATAACCTACACTTTGGGCGCATTTATCAAATCGTAAAAGAATATAATGAAAAATGTACTGAGATTAGAAAAATATCCTCAAAATAATAAATTAAATGACAATTTCTATTAAAAACATAACAAAATGAGTTTTTTTTTAATTAACATTTCATTATTTAAGAGAAACGGATGTTATGTTTTAAAATTTAAAAAGTAAAATGTTGGTATAGTTCAATGGAAACTTTTGTAATTAATCCTATGATATATTTATCAAAGACGTGACATTCTAAACTTTGGTTACATTAAAATTAACATGCTTTTTACTTAAAATTGCGTTGAAATTAACTATAATTTTTTAATAAAAATTCAATCACGTCTTCTTTTACATGGGGTGATCCATTGCAACGGATTTGAACATTGGCTTCACATTAATGGAGTAGGCGGAGGATTAAAGTACTTTCACATTAATGGGGTAGGAGGAGGATTAAAATACTTATTTAACAAAGACAGCATGCAAATACGAGATCGGTAAAAGAAGAGCAAAAGTTTCTTTATTTCAATTATTAGGAAAATTATTTTAGTAAAGCCTCAAAGAAACAGTAATAGACCATGCCATGTCTTTTTTGGATTAAGATAAAAAATCTTTAATAAGCACTCAAGATAGCTCTCCAATTTATGATCATTTGAATGTTGGAAAGAAGAGCAATTTATAGTCTAGCTTGGGCAATATTAGATTTGTTACACTTGTTACAAGCTTGAGAGAAAGCTAAACTTGGTTTCCAAGAACATTGTAGCACCATAGATTGGTTTTGCACTTCTCACAATCTTTGAAGAAAGGTAAATTTTAGACTCCAAGAACATTGGATCACCGTAGTTATCTCATTTATGTAAACATCACCAGATTCTATGTGGTCAACTTTGAGTCACATCTTAACGAATCTTTACCTTGGCGAAAAGTTGAGCCAAGATCTTCATGTGAATTCCTCCAGTTTGGTCATGTTCTCCATTAGCTCTACTAGGCTCTTTTAGAAGTTGCGAATACTGAGCAAGTCTAAGCAACCCTTGAACTTACGTATAGGAACTGGCTTGGTCATCATATCTGCTAGATTTTCTGATGTAGAAATCTTGTTTTACTACAACAAATACCCTGAGATATGATCTGTCGAATGAAATGACATCTAACATCAATGTGTTTGGTCCTCTCATGATACATTTTATTTTTAGTCAGACATATAGCGCTTTGGCTGTCACAATAAACAATAGTAGAATGTTGTTGTAAGCCCAAATCACCTACCGAACCTTTAAGCTAGATAGCTTCTTTTATAGTTTCTCTAAACAAAACAATCGTAGCTTGCAGAGTAGCCTTCCAACTGATGGTACAACCACAAAGTGTGAAGACTTAAGGGTGCGTTTGGTAGATGGATCCAGAATCATGATTCGGGATCCTGATTTAGAATCAGTGTTTGTTTACTGTGATTCTGAATCATGATTCAGAATCAGTATTTGGTTTGGATGATTCTGAATCATGATTCGGAATCTGATGTTATGTTTTAAACTAGCTCAAATCATGATTCTAAAACCACCCCCCTCTTAATTCAAACCCCTTATTCTAAATCATAGTTTTAGAATTATGATTTGAACCTAAAATTATGAATCATGGTTCTGGTTTTAAAATCATCATGATTTAAATTCTCGTACCAAACGAACCCTTAACCTGTCAAAGATTTCTTGTTCAAAACCAACACCACCATTTCTAGTAGTAAAACTCTTGCCATACATCAACCCTACATCAGCAGTACCTTTTAAGTATCGCAAAATCCATTTCCAGCCTCCCTCCCAATGAGTCTTAGCAGTGCAATCCATGTATTTACTGATGACATGTGAAATATCAGGCTGAGTACGTACCATAGCATACATTAAGCTCTATAAATAAGAAACAGAATTTACGAAACATAGATGTACAATAATGCAATTTAAAAAAGGAGTACATGCAAAAATTACCGTTTTAGAAATATTTTTTTAGTAAATGACCAAATTTTTGTAAAATTAGGAAAGTGGCTATTTGTCAGTGATTAAGCATACTAAATCAATGATAGACGGGCCCTATCACGTAGTGTATACAAGTTGACTTGATGGTTTATCACTGATTCACCAAAATTAATTAGTGATATACCAAATTCAACCAATAATTTACCAGTTTCAACAGAATGGAAAACAGTAAGTCCGTACACGCATGCGTGCACACGCACAAAAACATTATGTCGACCTTTCCCACCAAACAAACCCTACTATGCAACAAGGTTCAGCTAAGGCACATGAAAAGTAATGGAGGGTGCAAATGGAATGAGGCTGTAGTAGAGGAAGACTTCTTCGAGACTCAAGTCATACCTTGATACAGCCAAGAAAGGGAAAAGCACGTGCCAACACTAAACTGGACTTCATGAAAGATCACTACTTCATGTTTGAATAGAACCTGTAGTTGTATTACTTGCTCTTGAAAAGTACACCAAGCTCATTTACATATTCGAAACTAGACAATCCAAATTTGTATTTTGTACCGAAGCGGAAAAAAAAGAGTTAAAAAGAGAAAAAAAAAATGTCTGCGTCTATTGTTGATGTCTTGTAAGTAGAACTCTAATATATGGACCAGAATAACCATTTACAAACGGCTTAAAAGCTAATTGTCCCGGGAAACTGGATCATCCTTTGGAAGGGCAACATAATTAACTGGTGTTATGTTATTCGCCCTTCCACTTTCTCTACGTTCCTTCCCAGCTGAGGCTCCGTAACGGCCCAAAGCGGTGGCTGCACGGCGCCCAATTGGTGTCCCCGCCATTGTGTTAGCATTGGTGCTTGGACCTAGTGGCTTTTTTTGGGGGGGCTTCTTTGGCGTGGGCCTGGAACCAAAAATTGCCTCTTGCGCTACAGCAAGTTGTTCTTGCAATCGTTTCTGTTCCTGAAAAATTTTATACCAAAAGCAGCAATCACAGTTAGATATCTTTTCCACTAGCAAAAGACCAAAGAATGATAGCGGCACGCGAGGGGAGAAACTATCGGAGGGGCAAGCTTCATTAACAACACAAAGCACATTGTTATGCAGAACACATGAAAAGAAAACGGTAAAAGCAACAGCAAGCCAACCCGGGATTTACGCTTCTCCTCTTCTCTCTCCATACGTCCCAGAGTATATTCCTCCAAGCTCTTTAAGAGGGGAAACTGGAATTTTGATAACCCGGTGTCAACATTGAAATTCCAAAATAAAACAAAACGAGTGCATATACGCAAGGGTGAGTGCAAGTATGTGTTGTGTAGGCAAGAGAGAGAACAGTTTCGTTAATCACCTTGTCATATAAGAAAGGGACTCCTTTATCCAGTTCCCACGCTTTCACTTTAGCAGTCAAACTTTCAACCATAGCTACTCAGCAAAATAAATTTTGAAAGTTACCAACCAGAACTTAAATAAAAATCAAAATCAAAAATCAAAAACAAAAATTTAAAAAAAAAACAATGATAATAATAAAATTCCAATTTTGAGAAAGCACCAAATCATCCCAAATAAAACATCAGATTAACTTCTGGTTACCATGCGAACCAATAAATTCACCTAAGACACTGCTTGGAAAGTATACCAACTTTTGAATCTATTCAACTTCAAATAACTGCATCACTTCGATCGAAGCCAATCCCATAGTCTGAAGTTTATAGTGCATAGTTTAGCCATGAAAAACAGAGGAAAACAGTTGAAAGAGTTCCTGATGATAACAGTGGATTGACCAAAAAAACCTAAAAGACTAAAAAGCTAAAAAATAATAATAAATAAATTTGTTGATACTATAGAATGTATTACAGAAACCAAACAGAAAGCAAATGGAAAACCTGGCTAAAGTGGATGGAAACCAGGCTACGTTTTCGTTCAAACTTTAAACCTTCAAGGGTGATTAACATATCTAGGGAATAATTTAGGTATATTCAAAAACTATACTATACATTCTAGCTTCCGTCATTTGTATATCTAAAATCATAAATATGCATCATCAAAACTTTATCTTGGTTAAACCTCAATTTTATGAACAAAATATCTTTAGAGGAAAAAAAAAAGAAAATAAAAGGAAAAGAAACTAGAAAATGAATTCTGTTCGTGGTGTTTTTTTTTTCTATTTTTGAAAAATTTCCACCTCACATTTTGGAGATTTTAATTAAAATGGAGCTTTGATCTTGTTAATGTATAAATATGATATGAATTTATGATTCCAAGAATACAAATGACAAATTCTAAGATGCATGATATACTTTCTCAATAAATCTAAAGCATAAGATATAATTATGTTTAACTATCTAAAAAAGAGTAAACTTCCCCACACTCTATTAAAATAGCAGAAAATAGTATAATACACTTCAATCTATCTAATCAATAAAACGTCCCCTACAAAAATAATACAGCCCCCGGTTGGTTTGCTAGTTTGAATTTTATTAGTTTGAACTTTTTGATTTAAATAGAAAAATTCATTCTATGCGGTTTAAATTGTAGTTTGAATTGACATTTAGAAGTGTAGTTAAAGTTTTAATTTGAACAGGGAATAAAATTCGAATTTGTGTTTGGTAGGTGTGAAAAGCAGAGAGAATGGGCACTTTAGACTGTTCAAAAATGGTTTGAACAGTTAAACTTGAGGGGGGAGCTAAATTCTAAATTGGGTCATTGAACTCAGTTCAAACAAGGAATATAATTCAACTGCATGCTTACCAAACACCAGTTCAAGCTGTGCTTACTGTTCAAACTGAGTTGAACTGAACCAAACTAGTGAGACAAACAGGGGCACAATTAAAATTAGCTTATCACATTTTCAGTCCACGTCTATGTTAACAAACCATTTAGAAGTATTTTACACCAACAAACGTGCAACAATATCAGAACACAATAGTATATATCATATACGTTTTAAGGATACGAGAGTATATCAATATCTAACAATACACAATTAAAAAAACGCTATGTCTACCTTTTCTAAACTTACATGAATCTGTTTACGAATCATATCATCTCAGGCCATTTTGAGTGTACTTGATTATTAATTAAATACGTAGATGTAGCATACACGCATGCCAATTCATTAACAACATGTGATACATAACATTTAACAAAAATAAATAACGTAAAACATTTATTATAATTAATGAAAGTAATAGCCTAAGTACTAAAACAATTTTTTTCCTAACCAGTGTACATCTACTATTAGAATCTAGTTTACAATTTAAAACAATCTGAGCTTACAAGGTATTTTGTTCACAAGAATTCGAGCTTTCTCAGCACGTTTCAGATTTTTGTGTGCTCCTTTTCCAGCACTGTATCGATTTTCATCCTGGAATATAGAATGATAAATTCAGTAGTAGAAAAAACTTGGAAATGTTCATTTGTCTAAATGAGTGCCAGGTTTTAATAAATATTGAGCATGAATTCATACAAGTTATAAAAGTTCCCAATATCATCTCTACCACAGGAATTAGTGAATTTCGTCTGATGCTATCAATTTCATTACAACAAATTTGAGTCCAGATTCATTGCAGTAAAAAGATAAGAATGAATAAATTTTTACCCTTTCATAGTCATCAAGCCACTTCTCCTCCTCAGATGCAAACTTCCATTTCTCTACTTTGTCCAAGATATCCTTCCGGCTTAGAGCCTGCTCTTTAGCTTTTACAATCTGATCCTCCATACTTGAAAGCAGATCAGATAGGTCGACACTACCTGTGAAGGCATGATTAGAACAACAGGGGAAAGTTTTCTCAAATAACCTTCCACTAATTCCACGATTAGAACTAATTTACACATATCTATAAACAATCCACAAAATTAGGAAAGAAAGAAATTCAGAACCAAAAAATTTGATAACATCGAGCAAACATGTAACAAGAAAATCAGAAATGAAGATTAATCAATAATTAGCCAATCAAATAAGGTGCTTATAACTTTTTTTTTTTTTTTTTTTTTTGTTGAGGGTAAAATGCATATAACTTAAACAGACTGCACATAAAATGTATTCCTCAAAAAGATTAGACTAAAAACGTTTCTGGTGAGAAATATACATCACTCATAGAAAATAAACAAGTTATGAGTTGAAGTTGTTGTCACATAGAAAATAAACAAGGTATACATTTCTATTTGTGGAAGAAAACAGAGAAAGAAAAGAGAGTTTATAAGTTATTGAATAAAAAATATGAGAATTAAAAACTTCAAAAAAAAAATAGACATAGTTAAGAGATCAAGAAAAGAACCTTATGATAAAAAAATAAAAAATATTAACAAAAAACGAAAACTTTATATTGGTACACTTGAATTTGTTTAAGTTATTTGGTAAATGAAAAACAAGAGTAGGGAAAACCAGAATCAATTAGATCAGTGAGGATCTGTCGTGCAGAATCACTTTCTACATCCATATGAACCCCTCTGTATATTTCTTCCAGCTCGTTTTGTCTTTTGAACACCAATTCCCTCAACTTGCTGCCTTTAAGAGTATTCAACCGCTCAACTTCTACTTCAGTCTAACAATTATAAAATAGAGAAATATGAAAATCTTAACATTAACATGCAAAATCTAACTTTCAGCCTAAACGCTGTTACAAGAGAAACTGAACTAAATAAATATTGCTATTACCTGCTCAATGACTTGTAGGGAAAGGCATCCTTGCCTTGACACTTCATCGGTGGATGAAGAAATTAAGCTAGTGACATGGTCAAATTGTTTTCGATCAATAATTGGCGTGTCCATGAGATTCCATAGCTCTATCAACGTCTTACCAAGGCCTTGTAGCTACAATATAGAACACATAGAAGGAAGAAAGTATTTATGAAGAAAATTACTGATAGTACCCAACTGAAAACAATTATTATTTATTGCTTAAAATGGAGCTAAATACAAAAGCATTCATGCTAGAATTATCTCAAACTTTTACAAGCGAAACTCTAGTAAATACAAAATAAAACAGCTTATAGCTTATGAAATGAAGTGGTAGTGTTTTGATATGTTCATAAACACACGGAGGCCCAACAATTTATTTGATGGGAAAAACTATCTGTAAGACGTTATCTTCCAAGAGGTAGCAATTAGCAAAGATTACTCACATACACAAGTCCAAGTAAGAATGTAATCAAGTTCATGCATGTTCTAAGGTTGACAATGTGGTAAGGAGGAGGGGGCAAAATTCAATAGCACCTCACCTTTTTGAGTCTTTGTTGTTTCTGTTGCTTTAAAGAGTTAATCAAATCTGTTAGTCCAGCAAGAGTATCGTTGCTGATACTCTTTGAGTTACCACAAGAGGAATTACTCAAGCTTGGATGAACTTCATGAACCACGTTTAAGAAATCAATTGACATGGTGACAGATAGCTCATGGATGAAACCAAGATGGCCAATAACTTTCTGTAAGCGCAAAACCTGCATAAAAATAATACCACATAAGTACAACCACAAACTTAATCCTAGAACCACAGCATCACAATTGACTAGACGAACCTTTTCAGTCTGAAGCTCTTTAAGGTGCAACTTAAGCTCTGCCAATCTCTTAGCTGTTAAATCATTATCATTAACTTGCGGATCACCATAGTTCTTAGACTGACCATTACCAGCTATCTCTGCACATATACACGCTATCTGCGATTGAATTTCTGAGAATTCTTCAACTCTTTGTTTCTTCTTCAACCTCAATTCCTCCAAAATTGGTTTAATTGCTGATATTTGGTCCTTGAGGGTGCCTTTACCCTTCTCAAACTTGTGCAACATGGAAAAGGACAAACTCAATACACACGCAAAATCAACCCATGACATAAAAACGTGAAATAAAGGCAGAATAAAGGCAATGTTCATTTTTCTACTTCTGAAAACACATAAATACAACAAAAAGTCTGAAAGGCACGAACCCGTGAAAAAGAGGCATGCTCCCCCAGCGCTGAAACAATGTTACTGATTTCAACCTCGGCCTCAGCCAAGGACTGATGCAAACTCGCCCTATGCTTTCTGGTGTTTTCAACTTTCCTACGGTAAATTTCAAGGCATTCCAGAAGCATCTTATCCCTCTCACCGTCACTCTCCCCAATTTCATCCCAAATTTTCTACAATAACAAAACAGCAGATCAACACCAAGAAGTTCAAGACGGGAATTTCATTTCCGCTGATTAATTGCAATTAAAATCCATTCCCTATATACAAACTCTCATTTTTCTTGTTGCAAAAAAAGCAGGAATTCTACCAGTGAATTCTAAAAAGTTGGAAATTTCAATAAAACTTGAAATTAACATTAGAAGCGAGAAAAAGAGCACGTCAAAACCAGAAATTTCAATCAAATGAAAAATACAACCAAAAGCACCAGATTAACATTAAAAAAAATGAAAATATACTAGATGCCGAGAATTTCCAGGGAAAAAAAAAAAAGCCATTTCGCAAATAACAAGTCAACCAACTTTCTCAGAGCAAAAGAAAAAACAAGATGATCGAAGAATCTGCACAATTCCGGAACAGATACAATCAAACTCGAAGTTAATATTAACAATCGAGAGAGAGAGAGAGAGCGACCTGTAATTCTCGGAGGAGTGAAGCGCAGGTGGTGCGAGATGGAGAGACCGACGGAGGCATTGTCGTCATCGTCCCTCAACGAATAGCAGAGAGAAGAGAGAGGAAGGAAGAAGAAGATGCAAAGCCGAAACCCTAGGAGAGGGGAGAGAGAGAGAAAGAGAGAGAGAGAGGGAGAGATGCGAGAGCGTTACGAGCGTTTTCTCGGGAAAATCAGAAACGGAAGAAAGATTGGGTTTTGCTTTTTTACATTACACACATTTTTTTCGAAAGAGGACTTGATGAAGATCCCCAGAGATTAATGTAGACTTAACACACACTGAATTAAAGAGATTCTCTTTTCGAAATTGTCGGTTTCGGATTTTGGGTTGCTTTTGGCGCGAAACCCCAAGTTTTTTTCTTTTTTTTTTCCCCCTCTTGAGGTGTGTCGTTTGATGTAGGTTTAACAGAAATGCAGACTTTTGTGAGATAAACTCACGAAACAAATGTCTCGTTCATTTCACCGATTTGAATTTTTAGTTTTAAATTTTTACAGTAAAAAACTTTGAGAAAAAGAGAAAAATAGGTCAAGACTTGAGATGAATTAAAATTAATAGGCCAATAGTTTACATAAGTTAATAAATAGGCCAAATTACTGTTTTCGTCCATAACTAGTCTGGTTATGAACCATAACTTGACAAATTATTGTCCATAACTTGTTTAATTATGAACCATAACTTGACAAGTTTATCCATAACTTATTTGGTTATGAACTATAACTTGACAAGTTATGGCCTATTAATTTCTATAACTAAAAATTAGTCTATATACTTTCTTAAGCTTTTTATATTGGCCTATTTTCTACTAACTTTTTATGTTACAGTGAAAAGCTATCAGAAAATGTCACATCTCAACTTGAATTGAAAACTCGAATCCGCAAAGTGAACGAGGCTACAATGTCTTGTTTATTTTGTCAGTTTAACTCAATTTTAAAAGTAAATATAATTTAAATTTGTGTTTAATAAACACATATGAATTATATTGCGTGTTTAAATTGAGTTAAATTGTTCAACTTAGAGTTTAGATCTACTATTAAGTTCAACCGTTCAAATCATTTTTAAAAAATAAAAATGTACTCACTCTCTCTGCTTTTCACACCTACTAAATACTAATTTGAATTTTATTCCATGTTTAAATTAAAATTTTTAACTACACATCTAAACGCTAATTCAAACTATAGTTTAAACCACAGTTTGAATATTTTATTTAAACATAAAAGTTTAAATCAACAAAATTCACACCAACAAACTAAAATGGGACAAATATCTCTTTTATTTTTGTCTTTTCTAATATATTGCTAGCTAATGTCTGGGAAAGGTTGATAAATACCACTTGTGTGGTACTGCTATTCAATTACATCAATTTCGTAGAAAAATTTGAAACACACTACTTTTAAAGAATAAGAAGACAATGTTGACCCTAAATTAGATGTAGACTCATGTAGTTTATCAATGATAAACTCGAGTTACTCACGATAAATTTGAGTTTATCATTAATAAATAGTACTTTATCACTAATAAATTACAATGTATCAGTGATATAATAAACAATAAGTAAATCATATATAATTAATCATTGATAAATGTTTACCTCCCATAGCCTAATATTTTTACACCAATACGCTAAAAAATATAATTTTAATTTTATGAATTAAAATATCTCTTAAAAATAAATTATTCTTATTCAATGAGAAAATTATTCATCTACTAAATTTTTTATTTATTATTCAAATTTTCAATTTTTAAATAACTTTTTTAAAAAACTATATTTTTTATTTACTATGGAAAAATAAAATAATTGGATAGAGAATTTTATTAGACGTTTGATTCATGGATTAGAATTATGAGATTAGAACTATTTTCGATTTACGTGTATTTTTGTGAGAAAAAATATTGTAACAAGCCACGAACCATGATTCAAATCAGGGGCCGAATCCCCCTACCAAACGTATTTTAGTAAATTTGGATAATAACAATAGAGGTTTCTTCTCAAATTCTACTGTTTGAGGGTAGTTTTTAGAAATTACTGAGCAAAAATAGTATTGACCAAATATCCCGACATGTTGTAATTTTTTTAAAAAGTTAAAAACAGCCTCTAAAAGCAATGTCCAACATGTTATATGTTTGCATAGACTCTCTTTGGCTCTTCAAACTTATATCTCTTTATTAGCTTTTCCTGAGAGAAAATACTGTAGCAAGTCACGAACCATGATTCAAATCAGAGGTCGAATCCCCCTACCAAACGTATTTTAGTAAATTTAGATAATAACAATAGAGGTTTCTTCTCAAATTATGCTGTTTGAGAGTAGTTTTTAGAAATTACTGAGCAAAAATAGTATTTACCAAATATCCTGACATGTTGTAATTTTTTTAAAAAGTAAAAAAAGCCTCTAAAAGCAATGTCCAACATGTTATATGTTTGCATAGACTCTCTTTGGCTCTTCAAACTTATATCTCTTTATTAGCTTTTCCTAAAGAGAGAAACAGTTCTTTTGGCTGCATATATGAGAGGAAAAAAAGAGAAATAAGGAACGGAAATGAGAGGATAAGTGTTAACTTTTGTCTATCGGTGTTTGGATAAAAATGAAGAATTTTATGAATAACACTCAGCTAGAGAATCACGTTGATTGGGCAACAAAGTGACAGAGGCCGGGATATAAGTGCAAAAATTATCAAAAATAGGAATAAAGTTGTAATTTTTGAAAGATGATTAGTCATAAATGAAAGGTTTCCAAAACATGATGATCAAAATATTATAAAAACATATTTGCAAATATGAAATTTGGCACACTAATAGGTTGTTTGTTTTAAGGGTTCGTCTCTAGTTCTGAATCATGATTTTTGGTTCTCCACAGTATTTTTTTCTCATAAAAAATTTAAATTTTAAAAATAAGAATCATGAATCATGATTCTGAACTCATAAACCAAACGTTTTAGACACATAATTAAGTGGGTGTTACATATTCCAACAGGCGCATCAAGACTGTTTGATGGCTATGCAGCATGAAGAGTAGCAGACAAGCAACCACGCTTTTGCCAGCTACGGATCAGAATTTCTCCTCAATCCAAAACCTTCCTCTTGGCATGCCTCAGAATCAGATCGCATTTCCCATGATATGGACTTGTAGCACTTGGCACATACCACGTACAGTATAAAATTGACTACTGCCATAGGAGCCAATACGAAGAAAAACCGATCCAAGTGGCCATCATTCAGATTCCGAGGAACCCAACCAGGCTTGCCATCCTTTGATGTTATCTTCGTCACCACTGTTAAGATAGCACTCGCAACATAACTGCCCACGGCTAAACAAGACATGCATAAACTTATTCCCAAGCTCTTCAGCCCACCCGGAGTTTGTTCCACAAAGAACTCAATTTGTCCGACGTAGAAAAATGCTTCTGCCAATCCCACGAGTACATATTGGGGAATCTGCCACAAGATATTTAAACAACTTTGCTCTTCCACAAGAAGATTGCGGGCACATTTTAGCCTCTGTTGCTCCACGACGCCTGCGATTACCATGGGCAGTACTGAAATGGCTAGGCCAATTCCCATCCTCTGCAGCGTGCTAGGGACCCTTGGCTCTTTATTTAACTTGACATAAATCGGAATGACGACGCTGTCATATGACAAAATGAAGACCGATGTGCCTATGATGTTAAATGCATAAATGCTTCCTGGAGGGACACTGAAGTTGAAGACTGATTTATTCATTGCATCTCCTTGTTCCGTGAAAAGCGAAAGCATTTGTGTGTACACCACGGCGAAGAAGACGCTGCAGAGCCATATTGGCAATAGCCTCAATATACATTTCACCTCTTCAACCTGTGTGACTGTGCAAAGATGCCATGAGCTTGGACTTCTCCCCCCGTCTATGAGTTTCACGTCCTCCGGCGTAATGATTGCCGCGCTGTCGAGAAACCTGTTTGTTACAACACACATTGCAAGAATTTGTGTATGAAACCCGGATTAGAAGCGGAACACTACGGCTATGTTTGGAGTTATTTTTGTTTTTGTTTTTCACATTTTTCGAGAAAGAAAAATGTGAAAACAGAAGAGAAACGACGTTTGGCACAATTAAAGACAAGAAACGGAAATGAAAACGATTTTTTGATTTAGTGTAAAATGGAAGAGAAATGAAAAACGATCTCGAGAGAGAAAGAGAGACATTAATGAAATTTTTTATACTGAAAATAATCTCTTAATAAAACTACCAAACGCATTTTTAAAAATGATTTATGTCTGATATTGAAAATGTTTTCATTTATATTTTTATACAAAAAATAAAATTATTTTAAAACGAGTTTCAAACGCACCATACGTCATTTTATCAATGTGAAACTTCTAATTTGAATAAGAACCACTTACTTGAAGCCTTTAGTGTGAGGAATCCTCCTCATGCCACTTCTCTCACCTTCTCTTCCATGGATTTCATAGAGCTCCTCTTCATTTGAGGGAAGTTTTTGACTTGATTTCCTCAGGGAAGCCACTAATACTTGAGAGAACCTTGAGATGGGATTTCCAGAAGGCTTAAAGTGTCTATATCTGAGACTCCCACTCAATAAGAATACACAAGCAAGGACGGCAGATATACTACAAGTCCAAAAACTGACCACCCAGTACCCTTTGTTCTCCATGTATACCAAAACAGTCGGACCCACCAAGCTTCCCAAGTTTAGAGCCACATAATAGTAGCCGTAAAATGAAGACTTGTACTGCTTTTCCGACGGATCTTCCTCATCGAACTGGTCTGCGATGAATGCGGGCAATACGGCGTCGGGGCCACCAGATCCCAAAGCAATAAAATATAACAACGCATAATATATTGCCGCTTCGAATGCTTCATGAGGCTCACATAAGAAGCCTATTTTGCCACAGCCATGGGGTTTGATAAAAAATAAATGGGTTGACAAGGACATGGATATCAATCCCTACAAAGAGCAGAACAAGAAAAATAAACCAACATGTTTTATTCGAATCTAACACCAAGGCCCAGAAAACACACAAAGAACAAAACAGTAATCAAGAACACACAGCACCAGCTTTTACTCAGGTTCGGCCAAAATGTTTGACTTACGTCCTGTTGAGCTCCTCCACAAGAGCTATTCCACTATCAAGAAGAAGAATACACTCTCAGATCTCACGATTACAAACTTGAATAGAGAAATCCCAAATACCTAAGAAAATCTTACAGATGACGTTTAGTTGATGAATTTAGAATCATGATTCAGAATTATTCTCAATTTACGTGTGTTTTTTATGAGAAAAAATACTGTAACGAATCACGAACCACGATTCAAACCATGACACGAATCTTTGAACCAAACACACTCACAGTGTTTTTCAAGAAAAAACTCAGAGTACAGCTCTCTTAACTGATTTTCTCTCACCGAATTTGTACAATTTCTCTCTCTAAAAAATAGAAAAAAACTGAGATCTCAAAAACTGAACTCTATAAACAACTTGAATATTAGATATATATACATCCGTTTAGAAGAAGATAGCACGGCACCGACTCTGTAGCCACGCGTTGCTCAACTACTTAGCTCTAACTCAGCATTAATAAAATGCTGCGTTTTTTATCCACTGCTCTCTGAATAAAACGACTTGCAATATTCCTCTTCACCAAACATTAATGAAATGTCATTTATGTTCCTTTCTTCTTCTTGTTATTAATTCATGAGTTTAGTTCAGAGATTATTCCTCACACAACACATATTACTATTTGGTGATTCTTACACATATGTGATTAAAAATGCACAAAAGAAAAATCAAGCTGAGAATTTGAGCGTTAGAGAGCTTACAATGATAAGGATAACTTGAAAGACGATACAAGTTCGGTATCTTCCCAAGTAGGAGTCACTGAGAAATGCACCGATCAGGGAGAATAAATACACAGTCCCTATCCATCTGGTGAAGGTATTTGCTGCATCTACATTACTGTCTCGCAGTACCAACCTTACGAACTTAACCAAATTTACTTCAACTCCGGAAAATGCCACTGTATCAAGCCCTACATTCACTGTCATTTACCCAAAAAAAAAACACAAAAGCAAATAATCAAATTTCAGAGGGCAAATGAAATTGAATGAACCTCGGATGGACTGAAGCACTGAACCAACCGTCCAGACAACAGTACACTAGAGTTTAAATGACTTTAAAAGATGCAAAAAAGGCAAATGCATCAGCAAAAAGGAGACTCAGCTTATTAAGATTTCGTTAATTTCACTAATTTAAACTTTTAATTTTAATTTTATTACAGCTAAAAACTCTTATAAAAAATCACATCTAACTTCTTCTACTACAGTAAAAAATTCTCACATAAAAGCACATCTTAACTCGAATATGCGAACTGAACGATGCCTAAAAGTCTAAATTTTGTTTGCGATAGTGCGTTATGAATTTCTCTCTTCTTTTTGGTGAAAGGTGTAAAGTATTAGTATTCTTTTCGAACTGTAAGGGTTCGTTTGGTACGAGTATTTAAATTATGATGATTCTAATCATGATTCTGAAATTAGAATTATGATTCATAATTTTAGGTTCAAATCATGATTCTGAAACCATGGTTCAGAATCAGGAATTTAAATCACCTTGAATTAAGAGGGGGTGGTTTTAGAATCATGATTTGAGCAAGTTTAAAACATCACATCAAATTCTGAATCATGATTTAGAATCATCTAAACTAAACACTGATTCAGAATTATGATTCAAAATCATGATTTTGAATCACTGTAAATAAACACTAATTCTGAACCATGATCTAGAATTATGATTTTTGATTCATTTACCAAACGCATTCTAATAGATTTTGAATCTAAAGAATTTGAAATTAAAGTGGTGAATCTTTGATTATGTGGTAGATATGGAAAGCTAGAAGGAGATTTTCGTAAGTGAGAAGTAGAGAGAGAATTGTTGCGGTTTTCTAACTTTTTGTGTACAAGGAACTTTGGATTTGCAAAGTTGGAAATTTTCATTGATGGATGCTTTTGTTGTTGATACTTCAGAAGTAACAGGGTATCACATATATTCTTTCTTGAGCCAATATCACATATGTATATACTAATGAAGTCCCTCTCTCTCTCTCTCTTAACTTCTGAAATCGTTATTGAGTCTTCACCACCGGTGTGTGTCAATTTACATTCTCTGTATTTTTATTTATTCGAATTAAGATATAATTTTATATGAGAATTTTAAACTGTATTAAAAAAAGTTAAATGTAATTTTTTTTGAGAGTTTTTAAATGTAGTAAAACTAAAATTCAAAACTCAAAACGGTAAAATGAACGATACCTTAGATTCACATGTTCTAAAATCAAGCCTGTGAGTTTCTTTAGCACAATATTTTTTTTTTCCTTTTCCTAAAAGAACAGCCTCAAGGATGTCTATATTAACAAAAACGAAAACTTGAAATATTGAAATTTTATTCTCCTCATTCTTTCAGGTTTTATATATCTATATGTCAACAAACTTTATAGGACACCTATATATAAACATAATATTATTATTTTTATAAAACTTGCAAAAAAAAAAAAATTTATACTAATTAAATATTACTTTTATACTTGAAAATTAGTATATATATTAATTAACGGTTTCGTTCCCCTAAAAAAAATGAATGCTTTCATTTCCCAATAAAACTTTCTAGCTATTCTTTTAACTAATGTTTAAATATTATCTCTAATCCTGCAACTTTTTTTAAAACAAAAATTTGGAGAAAATTTACAAAAACTAAAAAAGTTTTGCTAGAAAAATATGTCTATAAACTTGGACTGTGATTTTTGTAAAAAAATAAAATAAAATAAAATAAACCCTTTAAACTATAAGAAGAATAGAATTTTAGGGAAAAAAAAAGTATTTTACCACTATTCAAGAAAAGCCTTATAAATAAGAGTTGGTGAATCAATATTGAACATATATATATATATACACCCTTCTACAATACAACTCCTTCGAAACAAAGGTACATTTGAAAAATAAGGTCCGTTTATTTTACCAATTCGAGTTTAGAATTTAAATTTTATTACAGTAAAAATTTTTCAGAAACAGTCATATCTAACTTTTTTATTACAGTAAAAAGCTATCGCATAAAATCACATCTCAACTCGAAGCTACAGTAAAAAGCTATCGCATAAAATCACATCTCAACTCGAATTAAAAACTCGAATCGACGAACTAAAGGGGTCATTACAAAGATATATTCAGAATAACGATATATATGCTGTTGAAGAAATTACCTAACAACAAGATTCCACATTTCCTACCGCCGGTCATCCGTTTAAAAGCTGGCTTCCCTTCACGATCCACCGATCCATCTTTAGTGCATGCAGCCGGTTCAAGCTCCATCTTTCATGCAAGCCAAGTACAATGTCAAGCATAAAAAAGAATCATATTGTGCGTTCAATCTTTCTTTCTCTCTCTCTCTTTGTTTAAAGAGAGTTTATCGGAATTTGCTCTTTCCGGTACTCATCCCCTAATAATCTAATTAATATGTTTTTTTTTTTTTTTTTTTTTTTTTGGGGGGAATATGGATATTTTTCCCTTTGGAAAATGATGCCAACTCTTTTTCTGAGTCAAACTGTCAATGCACATTGATTGTAATTTGGACTTTTCATAAAGCATTTAATTTTCATTTCTATTAATGCGAAACGGCTCCTAAAATTTTATGGTAATAAGTGAGAAATTCCCTTATTTGCATGGGAGAGACTATTACGAAGCATTCCATTTTAGTTCATTCATTTATCTAGCTTACACAACTTTTTTGGAAGATAAGTTCGAGTCTTGTGGCAATTTGTGGTAAATGAAGATCACAGGAGACTCTTGTGATGATGACGTGGCTTTCATAAACAAGGCATCAGCTATTTTTGTGAAAGCTAATTCAATACTACTCGTTTTGGGGAGGGCCTAAAGGGACTTTGGTGGCCTTTTGTTCACTTTATGGATTTGAATTTTCAATTCGAGTTGAGATGTGACATTTTTTGAGAATTTTTCACTATAGCAGAAAAAGTTAGATGTGACATTTTCTGAGAGCTTTTTACTGTAGAAACCTAAAACTCGAATCGGTGAAATGAACGAGGCCTTCGTCATCCGCCATCTTCTCAACTCGCTCACTCACCCACTCACTCTTTTTCTTTCCTTCTTCAGTTCTTATTGGTAGAAAGCGCGTGGAAAATAATCTGTGCGTTAAGTTTTAGGGTTCGTTTAGTATAAATATTTAAATCATGGTGATTTTAATAATGATTCTAAAACCAAAACTATGATTCATAAATCTGGGTTCAAATCATGATTCTGAAACCATAATTCAGAATCAAGAATTTGAATCACCTTGAATCAAGATGAGGGTGGTTTTAGAATTATAATTTGAGCTAGTTTCAAACATCACATCAAATTTTGAATCATCCAAACAAAACACTGATTCTGAATTATGGGTCAGAATCACTGTAAATAAACACTGATTCTGAACCATGGATTCAGAATCATGATTCTGGATTCATCTACCAAACGCTTAATTACCACGTTATTATTTTTTAATTGATTTAATAATAAATATCTTAGTTAATACACAACCAACACAAGTATTTTTATAAGTATCGCTATTAAAATAAAAATGATTAGACAGGAGAAAAATAAATAGAGACACGTATGAAAATTTATATTTCATATAAAGTTTGGATATAAAATCCAGAACCACAATGGAAAAAAAAATAGAGTTAAAGAGCAAGAAACAAAAAAAAAAAGGCTAAAAAAAGACCCAAACGAAGAAGTAAATAATTTTTTAGGTAAAAAGTACCCAAACGAAAAAATAAAATAAAATTTTTGGGCAAAAATTAAAAAATAGAACCAAACAAAATATTAAAATGAAGAAATAAATAATTTCTAGGGCAAGAAGCAAAAATAAAATAACTTACCGGACTAAAACAAAAAAAAACAAAAAAAGAGGAGATGTACGGTTTAATCAAAGCGGGAAATTGGTATTATTATGTCTTTGAATCAGATAGAATCGAAAAAACTATTTTATACCATTGTATATTGTTCTTGAATAATTAGGATTTTTAGTTTGTTTATTATTTATTAATAACAAATATTTTTTGTTAGCGTAATTTGATTTTAATATTTTTAAGACGAGTGCCCCGTCAAAAATCCGGTAGGATGGGAAAGAGGGGCGTTTTGAATCATTTTCTATATATAAGGAAATATTTTGAACTGTTTTATAAAATTAAAGACATTTTAAATAAAACATTTTAAAATAAGATCCATGTTTCAAAAGACATTGATAAAAATAAACATTTGGATGTACCTTTTCTCCTATCGGTAGGGTGAAATTGTTCACACCTCAGATGAAAAATCAACGGCCTAATTATTATTATTATTTTTTGTAATCTTTGTTATTTTAATGGCGATATTTTGTGTTAGTTGTGTATTAACTAACTTCCTAACTAAGATTTTTATTATTAAATGAATAGAAAAAATAATAACACCATAGTCAAAACTTGAACACACGAATTACTGCAATGCACGTAGATTTCAACTAGTACAAAAGCAAGTTTGTGTTTGGATACGCTTCTTCCCATAAAGTACATAACAAAGGCATGTCATCTCCCCTTCATACATAACCCCTCTTTCTTTCTTTCTTTTTTTTTTTCCCACGAGAACTCTTTTTAACATTTCCACCACGTAAAAAGTTACTAAAGATTATGATCCTCCAAAAATTTTATCCATTAACTGATAAAACCTTGAGAGATCTCATATATCAAGACTGCTTTAGAGGTCAAACAATGTAGTTGTTTGCATCCACTGAGTGATGGTAACGCACAAACAAGCCTCGTCTCATGCTTCACACGGACGCAGGTGTCTCCTTTTCTGATTGGCCGCCTTTAGATCCATTTTCTAGAATCTTACTCTCGGACGGCAAATTCTTCTTAGCTTTTCTGCTCCCCTCAACTTTCCACATGTCCCACACCTTTGTTTTTGGTGGAGGAGCTGCATCCGCAGTTGCATCAGCAAAAAGGAGACTCAGCTTATTAAGATTTCGTTCATTTCACTAATTTATGTTTTTAATTTTAATTTTATTACAGTTAAAAGCTCTCACAAAAAGTCACATTTTACTTCTTCTACTACAGTAAAAAATTCTCACATAAAAGCACATCTTAACTCGAATCTGCGAACTGAACGAGGCCTAAAAGTCTAGATTTTGTTTGCGATACTGCGTTATGAATTTCTCTCTTCTTTTCGGTGAAAGGTGTAAAGTATTAGTATTCTTTTCGAACTGTAAGGGTTCGTTTGGTACAATTATTTAAATTAGCGTGATTCTAATCATGATTCTGAAATTAGAACTATGATTCATAATTTTAGGTTCAAATCATTATTCTAAAACCATGATTCAGAATCAGAAATTTAATGAGACGTTTGGTAAGGAGATTCATACCATGATTTGAATCATAGTTCATGATTTGCTACAGTGTTTTCTCTCACAAAAAATAAACGTAAATCAAAAATAGTTCTAATCTCATGATTTTAATCCATGAACCAAACGTCTCCAAATCACCTTGAATTAAGAGGGGGTGGTTTTAAAATCATGATTTGAGCTAGTTTAAAACATCACATCATATTCTGAATCATTCAAACCAACACTGATTTAGAATTATGATTCAAAATCATGATTTTGAATCACTGTAAATAAATACTAATTCTGAATCAGGATCCAGAATCATGATTTTTGATTCATTTACCAAACGCATTCTAATAGATTTTGAATCTAAAGATTTTGAAATTGAATTGGTGAATATTTGATTATGTGGTAGATATGGAAAGCTAGAAGGAGATTTTTGTAAGTGAGAAGTAGAGAGAGAATTGTTGCGGTTCTCTAACTTTGTGTACAAGGAACTTTGGATTTGCAAAGTTGGAAATTTTCATTGATGGATGCTTTTGTTGTTGATACTTCAGAAGTAACAGGGTATCACATATATTCTTTCTTGAGCCAATATCACATATGTATATACTAATGAAGTCCCCCTCTCTCTCTTCACTTCTGAAATCGTTATTGAGTCTTCTTCACCACCGGTGTGTGTCAATTTACATTCCCTGTATTTTTATTTATTCGAGTTAAGATGTGATTTTATATGAGAATTTTAAACTGTATTAAAAAAAAGTTAAATGTGATTTTTTCTGAGAATTTTTAACTGTAATAAACTAAAATTTAAAAATCGAAACGGTAAAATGAACGAGACCTTAGATTCACATGTTTTAAAATTAAGCCTGTGAGTTTCTTTAGCACAATATTTTTTTTCCTTTTCCTAAAAGAACAGCCTCAAGGATGTCTAAGTATTGCTTCTCAACGGATTAGCGTTTGAGGTTTGGACTTTGGAATTTGTTGTTCTTACAAAGGAGGTGGATATTATTAAAAGGAAAAAAAAATCCATTCGAACACCAGAAACATAAATATATTATTCAAAAAAAAAAGAGAAACATAAATATACAAATCAAAATTAGCATTTTCATAAAAATAGAGAGTGATAGTGGTGGTCTGGGAAGATATATCGACGATTCCCTGTCACGTTTCCGAGAAAAAAGCGGATTGCATTTGCACCCTCCCCACAGGGCACTTCCGGCAGAGCCAGAAAAAAAAAAAAAAAAAAAAAAAAAAAAACCCCCAAAGGAAAAGCTTGGTTTTTTTTTATAGGAAAAAAACAAAAATTACGAGCAGTGTTAACATTCTGTTAGTGGCAATGATTCAACTGAGCACATCGACTTCGTTCACTTCGTGAATTCGAGTTTTTAATTCGAGTTAAAATGTGATATTTTCTGAGAGCTTTTCACTGTAGCAGAAAAAATTAAATGTGACATTTTTTAAGAACTTTTTACTATAGAAATTTAAAATTGAAAACTCAAATCGGTTAAATAAATGAGGCATTGATATCTCCTTTTTTTTTTTGGATAAAAAATCTCCCATTTTTTAAATTAAAAAAAAAAAAAACCGATGTCTCATGTTAACTTGAACAATACAATAGAAACAATACAGAAGGGGTGTAATTAGTTATAGCAAGCTGCTTCTCTTGAAACTAATTCACAACTTTCTAGTTTAGAAGTCAAAAACGCGGACAGATTCATTTAAGACAACAGTTATACAAATTATTTATTAAAAAAAGATAAAATAAAATAAAATAAAATAAAAAATAAAAAAGATTTAAAGTAAAAGACAAAAATTAAAATAAGAAAAAAAAAACCCAAAAAGCATGTATAAAAAAGAAAAAAAAAAAAAAAAACCTTCGCCGAATGGAGGGAAAAAAAACCTCTTGCTAAATATTTTTAAAAATGTGTTTGGTAGTTTTATTAATAGATTATTTTTAGTATAAAAAAACTCATTAATCGCTCTTTCTTTACTCGAGAGAAGAGAAAACGAAAACAAAAATTGAAAAACGACTAAAAATCGTTTTTCATTTCTCCCTTATTTTACACTAAACCAAAAAATCGTTTTCATTTTTATTTTTTGTTTTTATTACGTCAAACGCCGTTTTAAAAATATTTTCATTTTTTCTTTCTCGAAAAACATGAAAAACAAAAACGGGATCAATTCTAAACACGGCTAAAGAGTCGATATGCATTGCAAACCTCCAAATTCTTCTGCATTGAAACAACAAAATAACAAGTTTTTTGAGTTAAACATAGTACCGGAAGATCGAGCATGTTCTGTTACATTAAATTAAAAAAAGTAAGAAAGAGAACCACAAATCCAGAGAAGGATTTGGTTGGTCCACTGCATATGGTCTAGAGTTCACAATCAACATCTTTATTTGCGCAAGCAATGGCTCCGCCGCTCCGGTCTTGTGCACAAGCATGAGATTACGAAAGGAGAACAAAACAAAGGCATGAGCGGAAAGAAGGATCTAACATGTTCACAGAGGAAGTAGAAAAGCAAAATTTATATATGAGAATTGAGATGACAAACCAACTCCACCTTGGTCCATAAATTCGAATCCCCAAGGCATTTGGCTATCTGTAGGCCCATAGAAGCCGAAAAAACAACTGAAAAAAAAAAGAAAAAAAAAGAAAAAAAGAGGTGTAGCGTGTGAAGAACAGAACAGTCCTACATAGTGATCTGTAGCCACTAGCACTTCAGACCTCAGAGACGCATAACCCGTCATTACGAACATATTTAAAACAAAGGAATGACAGGAACAAAAGATTTTAATCCTCTTGAACATTAAACAAGATCTAATAAGCATAAGGTTAATACCATTTTGAAGCTTTTTCTCCAAAACTGTAAGAAACAAGAATGAAATTTCATGAATAATCAAGGGAGAAGAATTCAGTGGCAATGTTCCAAGTGCTGATGCTAGTTTGAATAGGAAGAATGTGGAATTTCCAACTATTTTCCCAAATTGGAAAAGTAACTTCTTACAATATGAAAAGGATATGAAACCAGAAAGGATAGATATAACATCGGGAATTAATAAATATCAACCATGAAAACAAGATTATCAGAAAGGATAGATATAACATCGGGAATTAATAAATATCAACCATGAAAACAAGTTTATCAAAGTGAAACTATAAATATATTATAGAAGAAGAATATAAAAGTACCAAACGTTTGCTCTTAAATAGAGATAGAACGAACCTGAATGTATTTCATTCAGTCCTCAATATCATCAGTGACGACGCTAAACCGATCACTGGCAAAACTCATCCGAGCACCGGAAGGTGATGCTTGAGCTGAATCCTGCTTCATCATCAGTGTAACAAAAACTTAATCAAAGATTGCGCTGTACAAATCTATTACTGTTCGCTGTACACAGTCGGACTACATGAAGTGGTGCCTGGCAGGAATGTATGCATTGGAAGAACAAAGAAGAGAGGGAGAGAGAGAAGTATGAAGAAAAGAAATAACTAAAAGCTGAATTTACAATGACCTAAGATAAAACCCAATATTGCCAACTGGTGCTAGCCCAGTTGGCAAGAGTGGAGTGGGTTTGGGAGAGATCCTAGGCTCGAATCCTAGGAGCAGCTAGCTTGCATAAAAAAAAAAAAAAAGATAAAACCTAATATCTATATCGTCCCAAGAACATAAAAGATGAGGTTAGGAGAGACAAATAATATAGAATGAAGATTTAATGTGAAGAGGTATCAAGAAAATATTACCTGATCAATTACAAGTTCAATTTTTTCCTTCCAGAGTAGTGCCTCTTCGATATTAAATGCTCCCAACTGGACAAAAAGACAGGAAACTCGAAATGTTTTCTTCAAAAGCAATTTTTGACGCCATAACTTTAGCAATTACGAGTTTAGAACATGAATATCATGAACAAGACAAGATAATGATGACCACGTACAAAAGGCAGATCAATGACTTTCTTACTTTTCTTGAATCTCGCTAAAATTTGCCAGCATAAAGCCAGTCTTCTGGCTCCGTTACTCATATCTCGGTATTTCTCACTCTTGTTTTGTGCTAGTTCCGATAAAAAAAGTAAAATTCAAGAAAACGAATCTGGCAAACTAAAATCTGTTCACATCTGGCTTTCATATTTTAGTTTAAATAACAGGAACCATAGAGAACTTTCACATAGGATGCAATGATTTATTTTATGACTCCCCGACTATGAAAGCCATAAGAACTTTGGACAAACTCATAAACATGCGCAAGAAACTATAGTCACAGAATAGTTTTTTTTTTTTTTTTTTTGGGCAAAAAAAAAAACAAAAAAAGAAAGTCACAGAATAGTTGTAAAGATTGACTTGAAGCCCTTAAATGATGTAAACAGAAATGTTAGTGATCATATTGAACCTGATATTGTGTTCATCTTTCATTGTTAAGTGTTTACTAATCTTAGTTCAAAGGGAATTCCAAGGTAATTTATGGTCATGACTTTCCCTCATTTCATTTTGGCTCTTGGAGGATATTACTGTCCTTTTCTCCCTGTTTGTACTTTCTTCAGACATTCTAACAAAAAGATTTTTTATCATGTCTTTTGTCAAAAATTCAAATGACAAATTCTATTCCAAACCGGCGGCTAATCTCATTTCAAGGCCTTGTATCCTAAAGGTTCACAAGTACTCGCACGTGAGCTAATGAGACAGTGCAGTTAAAGATAGCAACTTATTGATTGTATTTTCCTTATTGTTCACAGAACTGCACGGGAACATCAGCACTTATGTATTCATTTCCTAAAGGGGAATAAAGCACGTACCACAATCTTGTCATAATTCTCCTTGTTGTACACAGACAGAACATAAACCTTCTGCAGGCACCAAAAATAATAATAATAATAATAAGTAAAATGGAGGAATAATCACGTAATTTCAAGTACATACTTCCTCAGTTAAGGATAGATGACTGTTGTACATAATATGAAGTAGGAATAAGACAATTTAACGTAAAAACTGTATACCTCAAGTTTTCACAGAAACTGCAAAATTCTAATATTTTTCCGTACGTATAACTCAACCTTTCTTAAGAAATCACAAGAAGCAATGCAAATCAAGTCATGCATGACTATATAGGTAATAGGATATCATTAATCAACACTAAACTATACCACATACGCATCTAAATGTGAAAGCCCTGAACTCAGTCATAAGCTAAGCCTATGCCGAGCTGTGTCGTTTTTCCACTGCTACTTATCGTCTTTTTGTGTAGCAGCTCATTTGCTGCTAAGAACCTTTTCGTTGTTGGCTTATTTCTATTACTGTTTGCTTGTTGTCATTTTAGTATAAGGAGATCCTTGCTTAGACAGTGTGTTTAGTGTAGGGAGGGTAGATATCAATTTGGGGGTAACCATTTGTGGCTCAGAGTTGATATATGCGGAACTCCTGCTTAAAGCAGCTTGTATTTGTTCCTGTTAATCAATCCAGAACTGTTTTTTGGTTGCTCTTCTATTTCTGCTGGAGGTGCCTTTTGGCATTGCTTTTAGAGACTATTTTTAGCTTTATGAAAAAGCTATAGCGGGACATACTGTTTTGTAAATCGTGCTTTTCTACAGCAGCTTCTAAAACTTGCTACCCAACAATACAATTAAAAAAGCAGGTCAGGTGCTGCTTTTACATAGCTATTTTAGCTGCCATTGTTCAAATTTAAAACTTAATTCTTTAATCTTTATACCCATTTTATGTTTGTCATAGCAAACTAAACATACGTATATCAAAATGTTTAAAAATAACAACAACAAGGCCTAGTTCATTTTACAAATTCGATTTTTCAATTTCAATTTTGCTACAGTTAAAAGCTCTCACAAAAAGTCGCATCTATCTTTTTTTGCTACATTGAAAAGCTTTCACATAAAATCATATCTCAGCTCAAATTAAAAACTCAAATCCACAAACTGAACGAGCCCTAATTAAGAAATTTGGTAATTTATTTTTAGAAACATTTTAAATAATAAATTAAAACAATATTTTTTTTAATATTTTGATGTAAGAATATTATAAATATTTGATTATAAAAAAAGAAATAAAACTAAGTATAAATATGTGTGCTAAAGTATGTCTATTTTAGTCATTATATATCTCCACAATAATTTTAGACATAATGTACCAAACATTTAAATTTATGCTTCTGATATTCACGGCAACTTTGAAAAACAAAATTACAAAGCGGTAACAGCAAATTTTCAATCGCGTATCAATACTAAACTGGCCCATAGTTCCAACTCAAAGACTCACCCAATTTGGAATTTGTTAAAAGTTCCAGACTGGCCCATAGTTAATGAGAAACACAAAGAAGTAGAGAACGCAAGCTCAAAATGCTTAAACCCCTACAAAAATTTGAAGCTTTAAATAAATAAATGCTACTTTCTTCCTTTTTTTTTTTTCCTCCAACAACAAAACAATCAACTACTGCAAGGTAATCCAAATCCGGAAAACTAAAAACTATACCGAAATGTAAAACCGTGTTTACTAAAACATGAACAATATAATTTTAAATTACAAAACCATGTCATTATTAAAATACAGCCCGAACATTTTAGTCTTATCATTTGAAGAAGAGACATTACCATATTAATATTTAAAAAAAAAAAAAAAAAAAAAAACTCACATGTCCATTAACGGTCTTCAAGCCCCGATCTTCTACTCTACAGTTGCCATCGATATGCATAGTTCTGATCGGCGCCTAAGCGCAGAACAAAGAAAAAATAAATAAACAAAAATAAAAGTTCGCTTCTTTCCAAAATCCAAATTAAATTAAATAATTCAACCTTATTCCAAAAAAGAAACCATAATCAATCAAAAAATAAAAACAAGAAAAGAAAACCTGATAAAATCGAGGCTTGCTCTTGTAGTAGGCGAGGCGCCCAGACTTGAGCACGAAGTAGCGCATGTTAATGGACTGGATGATGTTCCACCCTCCGCACCGCACCATCCAACCTTCACACTCCACTTCCGACGACATCACAACAATGGCGGATTCCAAAAACAAACAAAAAAAATCAAGAACGCGACCTAAGAGTCTGTTCTCTGTTTGGCTGTGTTATTTCTTTTCTCTATTTTCAAAACTGCGTTGAACGAGAGAACGAAAGTGTTTCGTAATTGCGTCTGGAGAAATAAAACGGTCAACTGAGAAAGCGTAATTAGGAGGGACTTTCTCTCTTTCATTTTTTTTTTATTTTTTTTATTTTAAAACAACGTAATTAATAAATACTTACTTGTTCGAGACTGTAAGCATGTTTGGTATAAGAATTCTAGAAATCAGAACCATTCTGATTTAAACCGGTATTGGTTTATGAAAAGTAAAAAGTAATTCTGATTTAACTCACACAGAATTAATATTTAGTTTGAATAGTTCTGATTCACAATTTGAATCTTGATGCGACGTTTTAAACCAAAATCACTCCTGATTTAAAACCACATCTCTCTTAATTTTAGGTGGTTCAAACTCCTTATTTTAGTTCTGATTTTAGAACTATGATTTAGACTCAAAATCATGAATCTAAAATCACCATGATTTAAATCCTCATACCAAACGAAACTTATATTTAGGGGGGGAATTGCGCCTCCCATAATTTCAAATCTCCAACGGCACTTCCGGTAGAGCCAGAAAAAACCACCTCCATAGAAGAAACTTTGGTTTTTAATTTTATAGGTATGATTGCAGAGAGCAAATGTTAACATTCTGTTTGTGTCAATGATTCAGCTGAGCTCATCTGATATCTCCCTTTTTTTATTGATAAAAAAATCTAACATTTTGTTGATTAAAAAAAAAAAAAAAAAAAACTGATATCTCTCATTAACTAAAACAATACAATAGAAATAATATACCAAAGAGTGTAATTAGTTCTAACAAGCTGCTTCTCTTAAAACTAATTCACAACTCTCTACTTTATACATAAGTCTAACAACTAATAGAATCAATGTTGGTTATATATTTTGCTCCTTACTATCATAAACCCAATAACAAGTTCTTTTAAGTCAATCGTAGTATCAGACTACATAGTATGCTTTGTTACAGAAAGCCATAATATTTCAAGCCAACAACATCAGTACACGCAACATAAACAACATCAAGACCCAAAGGAATCTTCTGCTACATAAAAAGAGAGAGAGAGAGAGAGAGAGACGAACAAATCAAGAGAAAGATTTGGTTGGTCCCCTGCATCCCGAGGCATTTGGCTAGCATAGGCCCGCAGAAGCCTAAAATGCAATTGAAAAAACAAAAAAGAAGAGATAATTAGACGCGGTGTTAGAAAGAGGGCGTGATGTAATCCGAAAGAGGTGTAACGTGTGAAGAACAGAGCATTCCTACATAGTGATCTGTAGCCACTGCACTGCACTTAAGACCACAGAGACGAATAACCCGTCATTACGAACATATTTAAAGCAGGAGTGATAGGAACAAAGATTTTAATCCTCTTAAATATTAAACAAGATCTAATAAGTATAAGGTTAATACCATTTCAAAGCTTTTTCTCCAAAACAGCAAGACACAAGAATGACATTTCATGACTAATCAAGGGAGAAGAATTAAGTGGCAATATTCCAAGTGCTGATGCCAGTTTGAATAGGAAGGATGTGGAATTTCCAACTTTTTTCCCAAATTGGAAAAGTAACTTCTTATAATATGAAAAGGTTATGAAACCAAAAAGGATAGATATAACCCTGGGAATTAATAAATATCAATCAAGAAAACAAAACAAGATTTTCAAAGTGAAAGTATAAATATAATATATAAGAAGAATGTAAAAGTGCCAAAGACTCTCTCTTAACTAGGGATAGAACGAACCTGAACTTGTTCAATCAGTCCTCAATATCATCACTGAAGATGCTAAACCGATCACTGGCAAAACTCATCCGATTACCAGAGGGTGATGGTGGAGCTGAATCCTGCCTCATCATCAGCGTAACAAAAAGTCAATCAAAGATTGTGTTGTACAGCTTCTATCACTGTTCGCTATACACAGACATATATGTGAATTGGTGCCTGGCAGGAATGTATGCATTAGAAGAACACAGTTAATTGGACCCCGAGAGGGAGGGAGGGAGGGAGAGAGAAGAGAAGAGAGGAGAGAAGAGAAGTATGAAGAAAAGAAATACCTAAAAGCTAAATATACAACCACCTAAGATAAAACCTAATTTCTATGTTGTACCAAGCGCATAAACGATGAGTTTAGGAGAGACAAATGACATAGAATGGATCAAGAAAGTATTACCTGATCAATTATAAGTTCAATTTTTTCCTTCCAGTTTAGTGCCTCTTGGATATTAAATGCTGCCATCTGCACAAGAAGACAGGAAACTCAGAAATGTATTCTTCAAAAGCGATTTTTGACATCATAACTTTAGCAATTACGAGTTTAGAACAAGAATATCATATGAATAAGACAAGATAGGCAGATCAATGCCATTCCT